GGTTGCTTGAGAATGTCTTCCACAAGCAACACTCCAATGGCTGATAGCTCCAGTACCGCACGAAACATGTTTTCGATGGACGAGAGTGAAAATGGAACGCACACGCTATTTGTTGTTTGTTTATATCACAGTCTGTTCTTCTTCTCTGTTTTCCGGTTGTTGCCTGTTTTGAATGACAAATACACACTACCACTGCCTGCTGGTAAGGAGAGTTATTGCCACTCACGCATGCGCAGTTCGTACGTGCTCGGCTGAAGTCTTTGCGGTGTGTTCCAGTGCGACACATGGCCAAGACGCAGGAGAACTCGCCGACGCAACAGTCGGCGTCAGCGAGTTCTCTGGTGACTGCTTGGTGTGTCAGGGCCTTAAGGTGTGAACAAAGTTCTGATTAAGTACGACAAAGTACTTGGTGTGAAAGCGCCTAATGTAGCTGTATATAAAGATAACAAACAAGAAATTGGTTAAAAAAATACTTTATTTGTATACACTAATGTGGAATAAGTGCAAGTAAAAATATGGAAAGAGCTTTACATGATGTTTAAAAGTAGAATATTGAAACACAAACTACATAATAAAATAATCAATAGCAATACAAATATGGCTTCTCCATCTACAACATTTTGTAGAATTCATGCAATATAAAATGTAAACTCTTAATGCAGTGTAAAAGCAAGCAATAAACACACACAGCCACACACACAGAATGAGCATTTGGTCAGTTTTAGTATTGGAGGTTAAAGGAGAGGGGTCAGAGGTTAAAGGTGAGGTCGACGCTCTCTCCGGCTCGGACACTGATCATCTGAGTCTGCTGCTGTGACTCCGGCATGGAGGCAGTGACAGCGTACGTCCCCGGGGAAACCTCGATGAAGAAATCTCCACCAACTGCAGAGACACGACCCTGAACAAAACAAGACATTGAATTTTAAAAGAGGACCTGTAATCTCTTTTTGGATGTTTCCCTTTCCTGTAGTGTATTATATAGGTTGTTGAGTATGTAATACACATGAAAGCACATTGGAGACATGTCACAGTAGAGGCAAAAAATACAAATATTAACCTGAAAATTAGCGAGGGAAGTTCAAACTGCTAACACTGACCTGGTTAAGAACATTGAACATTAACAAACTAAAGGATCCCAACATTTCTCTCTCTCCAAACTAAGTCTAAAATATGGACAAGTCAGCTATGGGAAACTGTTTGCCAATACATTAGCCGTAGTAACTGTTACAAGGTTTTATTCCTTTGAGTCTCTTTTGACAGATAAAAGCTTTATATGACTAAGAGAAACAGCATCACATTCTTGTTACCTGGTTCTGTGGTGCCCTTTCGTGTTTTCTAGCCGACCGTGCAGGAGTTTTAATCCCAGCAGCTGGCCGTGAGTGAAACCTGCACACATGGCTCCTCTCAGTGTCAGAGGGCTCAGTGCAGGAGCCAGACTCGTAAAACCTCTGCAGCACAGAAAATATTCACATTTCACTCCCTGTGCTTGTGGCTGAAAGCATATAAATCCAGTCTAAACAATCCCTGACCTTGCACTGATGGGTCGTCTGGGCCATGAAGTCTGCGATGATTGCAAAGACATCATCGAGCTCTGAGCGTGGTCTCTGGAGAAGAGCATGAGAATTAAGGCACAACACGTGAAGTCAAGCTCATTAATGTAATTGATAGTGGGGTTAGTATAAAACACCTTGACAGGGATCTGTGTGTCTTCCTCTGTGGTGGTGGTGGGGGTCTGGGAAGCTTCCACGCTGCTCCAGTCGACGCTTCTCCTGGAGGCTCGCTGCAGAACCTCCAGACCCAGACTGGCAGAGCGCCGCAGGGACGACTCCAGCCAGGCGTGGCTTTCCATGAACAGATCGAGTTCACTAAAGGTGCCCCTCACCTGAGAGGAGGCACAAGCACAGAGAGATCTTTCCTTACAGTACACACATTAAGAAGAGGGTTTTTATTACAGATATTCTTGTCTTTTGTACCAATTTAATATAGAACTGTAGGGATTACTTACTGGGTTAACAAATACAAATATGTAACAGTTTTATAATCCACCATGTCTTAATCAAACATGACAAAACGTATTTACCTCTTTTAATTAGTATGCTTTGATATCAAGCTGAATATTTCCCAGATACAACAAGCATAGTGAAGGCATCCCCTTCCCTCAGGCTCTTACACATGAGATGAACATTTTCCCTATGGACATTTTACAGACAATCATAATTATTTTTTAAACAAAACAGTGACTTGCAGATTAAATGATAACAAAAATGTTTGCTACCCAAATTTGATAAAGACAGTTTTAAGCAACTCAGAAAGGCCTACAGACTACAGCTACTTTTGGGGGGGTTTGTTTTGGACTGGTAAAGAAAGATATGAAGGTACATCCCCTTTTTTTTTTTTTACAACTGTGGTTCAAAATAACAAAAGTATAACAGTCACACAACAAAAACACAACAATTCCACATGTTATTATAAATTGCAAGTGAACGCATCTGGGTCACAGCGCATGCGTGAAGATTACCTCAAAGTCCCGCCCCCCACTCAGAATGTTTGTTTCTTTTTCTCATCAGTTACTTACTTTCTCTTTCAAATAGTCAACCGTTCGCTTCACTGAATCAACTCAAACAACGAAACTTCAGAGAATTCCACGTTTCATTCCATCGTTTCATCCTACGGTTCCATTCCAAGATTCCATTCCATACGAGACATCAACGTGAGGGTTCTAGGCGCTGCGTCAACAAGTGGCGGGTTAGGAAGGATTATTAACGTGTTTACCTTACGCACTCAGCAACAAGTCCATAACATATAAAGAGGAAACTGTGTTTTTTTAGATTCAGTATTCTGCTCGTATTCCTCGCGTTATGCTGATTTAGCTTGAGAAATTCAGCTCGCACACAGCCGTGATGTTTTCAAGTGACAGGACAGGAAATCCTGCATGTTAAGCCCCGCCCCCACCGCACGTAAGGTTACGTGGAGATGTTTCACCTTTACTTGTTTGAATAAGTGGTAACAAATAAACAAATACTTGTATTTTACTTGAGTACTTTTAATTGATGCCACTTTTCAGAGGAGTCAGTCTCCAGATACAGTGTTGGAAGGGGGAGGCAGTGGGGTCTGAATGTACTGCCATGCTCGGGATTTGAACCAATGGATAAAACATTCATACTTTTTAATTTTTGACGATATGAATGCATTTGCAAAATATAGGTTTACAAATTGCATAATGCTTAATTTGGAAGAGCATATATCTTTCCCATTATTTTTGGGTTAAAATACGAGTTTGGCCAGACATATTTTACTGGAGATACTGTCTACCAGTCTCAGGATTCGTACCCACAACCGCACTGGTTGTTGACAGTCAGCTCTGACCACTGACCCAGCGCCATATAGATAGAACTGACCTATAAGACAGCTTCTATTTTACCAGTACTGTATTGTGCCATTGTGCTAATATTGTATTATCGTTACAGACTCATGCCTGTTTCGTGTAATGGAGTACTTCTTTACTGTAGTATTGCAATTTTAGGGTAATGATTTGAATACATCACTGAAAGCAATCATGTAAATGGACACATATTAAACTTGAAGTTTGCCTGAGGTAAATTCTTTGCATTTGAAAATAAAATACCATAAGCATTTACTCTATAAAGTTTAATAGTTTATTGATTTTGTTATTTCCTTGAGTCCTGTGATAATTTCATTTTCAATCCTGCAAAACTTTAAAGACAACCAGGAAGTAGAAGCGCATTTCTTTGGCGAATAATACTTTACATTAACTGTGCTGAATACGTTGATACATAACAGCTAAACTACAGTCATATTTACAGTGGACTCTAGCTCAAGTGGTGCCAACAAACGCACTTATCCCAATGTAATAATGATTGAACCTATCATCAAATAACCACTTTAATAGAACATGCCACAGAAACTGCTGCCGTCATTTTCAAAGAACAGAAGCTCAAAATACAACACAAGTAATTTAAATCAGACATGACTAACGTGTTCTTTTTATACAGTTTATTTTTCCAAAAACACACTGACAGGAACATTATGCCATCAGCACACAGGCTCCTCCAGCTGCCTTGATCTTCTCCTCGGCCCGTCGGCTGAAGAACTTTGCCTTCACGATCACGGGCTGTTTGGGCAGCTTGCCCTTACCCAGGACTTTGTAGTAGCCCTGTAAGAAAGGAATATAGACATTAATACAACTAGATAATCCCATGAGCACAAAGGCAATTATATCTGGCAAAATGATGAACCATTTCCTCATCAGAAAAACAGCACACAGGGCATTAGTCGTTTTTAAATTGTGGTTTCTTTTGTGTTTTATAACTAGCTAATGTGCCATTTCATTTGTGTTTCACGACCGCTGTATTCGTCTGCCTGTATCGTGTTGTGTTCATTTGTTGTAACATTGTTCATGCTGCCCTCTTGGCCAGGTCGATTTTGAAAAAGATCAATGAGACTTTTACCTGGTTAAATAAAAGGATATATATTATGGTGACAAATGTCAGATTTAGTGTGTAATGTTTGTAACTGCCCATGTGGGTGACTGGCCTACAAAGAGCCAGTCGGTGAATAGGACCAGTCTTCACTTTAAGAGAACTCTAGCACACCAAGACAATCACGAGTGTCAGGGTGAGACTCTGAGTCTCTACAACAACATTACCAACGATCACCTTCACGAATGAGTAACAAATTGAATTGCAACAAAACAATGTTCTTAAAACCAGAGACTTTTTTGAAAACGTACACCAGTCAGGGGAACATGAAATTAGTAAAATGTGCCAATTTGAATTGAATATTGCCAAATCACCACTAGATAAAAATGACATTGGAATGTACTCGGCTTGAGTTTTCGCTTACAAATTGGTTGTTGTGGAAATAAAATTTATAAGGACTTCCCGACATTAACTGGACAACCATCGATCACAACATACATGTAATGTCCTGCCGCAAAACATTAACAGTTGTGCTAATGAAAAAAACATCTTAAGTTTAACACATTTTCTAATCGTTTGGTTTTTGTGGAGACAGCACTGGTTATCGTAGCCTAAAACACAACTACAGTATGGGCTGCAATATACCAACAATGATAATAGTTTGGTCATAAAAGTATCAATGAAAACAGTTTGTGAATGTAAGACTTAGTTTCTTTAGCACATCTTTCCCTTTGTGTCAGGTATCGCTGTTTTCATCATGGCTTCATTTTGAACAAAGCTAATACAGGAGCCACATGTCAGATAACAGTGACAATGACCGAACTACAAAACTTCAACACCTGCAAAGCTTTCTTATTGACGATGTCTTCATCCATAAAGCGTGTCATAAATACACCAATGACACTACTTCAACTAAAATGTAGTCAGTTACCAATGATCAGATCTAGCAACTGCACTGTGAAGTCTTCCTAGACACTGTGAAGTCTTCCTAGACACTGTGGCCAGTTGATTGAGAATTGGTTCCAATATGTAAGCCATCTGCCACCAAATGTGTTTTTCTACAGCTGTTGTAACAATTACATCCATTACAACTACACCTCAAGTTGTCTTTCACCCATGCCAATACTTAAAGAACCCAAAGATTAGACCATGAAGGCCAGAGTCAGCTAAAACATCTGCTCTGGCACTATGCTCATGAAGATGTGGGTCAGTACTTACAGCGCGCACAGCATCGATGATGGGAGCGGGTCCGTCGGGCTTCTTGCCGTAGTTGATCCTGGTCTGCTCGCTCACCAGAGTCCACAGCTTGTCCAAGTTGATGGTGGGGCAGTGGGTGGTGTTTCTCTTCAGATGGTAATGTCTCATACCGACCTTACCGAAGTACCCAGGATGGCTGAGGAGAAACAGAGGAGGAGAGAAAAGGTCAACTGCTGTGTAACCTAAATGGAAAGTGGACATAAGCTTAAAAAACTTTGGTTTTGTTTGGAAGCTTTTTAGAAGTTAACATTTTGGCAAGTAATGTTATTTAAGGGAAGTGTTTTTCTTATCAATCTCTCTAGGCTTGATTGTTAATAAAGGAAAGATACTAGGCATAATGGTGACAGAAATGTAATTTAGTGAGTAATGTTTGTAACTGCCCATGTGGGTGACTGGCCTACAAAGAGCCAGTCGGTGAATAGGACCAGTCTTCACTTTAAGAGAACTCTAGCACACCAAGACAATTATGAGTGTCAGGGTGAGACTCTGAGTCTCTACAACAATAATACCAACGGTCAATCCAGAGCGCAGTGCAGATCACCTTTACAAAGTAGTAACAAATTGAATAGCAACAAAACAATGTTCTTAATCCATTCTCTCCTAGACAGAAACTCGGCAGTGCCCTCAATATTTATAAACAAAATGTTTAGAGGGCAAATTCTTATTATATACTAGTCAGGGGAGAATGAAATTAGTAAAAATATGTGACAATTGTATTGAATATTGCCATAACATCACTAGATTAATCGACGTTAGTGTGCACTCAGCCTAAATGTTCAGTATATTGGTTACACATGAGTTGTTGGGGTATATATGATTATACTGGACATATTTAAACTTAACACAAAACCATAATGTTACTAATAAGAAAAACTCTCGATGTAAGATCGCAGTCTTTCACATTGTGTTTTTAGCACAACACATCTTGCACATGTTACCATATAAAAACTTTGATCCAACACAACCTTCATGCAACATGTCAAGGAGAACTTACTATTTGTCGAAGTTGATCCTGTGGTGATGCATACCACCAGCATTACCACGACCTCCAGGATGCTTCCTATGTTTTCCTGTGGGGTTGGTATAAAAAAAAAAACAGGTTGACCATGTGTCTCAAACACAGTTATACATCTACGAAGACATCTTAAAAAAAGCCAAGTTGAAACTCACCGATACGACCATGTCCGTGGCTGACATGTCCACGGAGCTTCCGGGTCTTGGTCGCTTTGGTGGGCTGTAAATAAAGATTAAATATCGATTAGAATACATGTTGAGTACAGATGTGGTCTTGGAGCTAGCTGCCATGCTACATTGGCCAAACAACAACCTACTTTACATGGATACATCAACAGGCCATTCACTTAGAAACTATACTGTTACACTGTTTTCTTGTTACTCCAACGTGGCATTACAAGCTGTAACTCACAGTTTAAAGACTGTCTGCTTTCATGCTGTATAGCATCTCAGGAAGCTAATGCTAATACAACAGCTTTAACCAGCATATTGTAACAGCTTGGCACGTTAAGAAAACAAATTGATGTTAGCAACAACTCTCGAGCACTTTAACGTTTTTAACAGCAACCTAGATAGTCACATTTATAATCAATGTAGAGGTTTTGATAACGCGGTCAACACATGTGAGTTCAGACAGTGTGTGCTAGTTGATGGCTATATCCGAGGCCCCAGCTCTCACACAGTAAACCGCTCACAAATCCCCATAATGTTAACAAATCACGGGACAAATCATACAGTAAATGTTCGTAGTATATGTCTGTACAGTAACCCGCCATTAGATGATAGTTTGCAGTACGAATGAACAAGGATGGGCATAGATTTAACTACATTTCAGAGCACAGGGATTCATGATAGCACCTACCATCTTGGAGGCTAGTTGAAAGAGGAACGCGATTTCTAAACCTCGCGCTTTTGTGCGAGATTTGGCTCCTTGCAACAGAGTCCAGAGAAACCCACAGCGACGCCAAAGGGTGTGATGAAGGAACACATTAACTCAAAAATAGACAAATATAAATGTATCTTACATACTTTTCTTACGTATTTATTTTATGATATTCTTTATTTATTTCTCCTTCACTATATCTGATTCAAATATTCCTAATTATAATCATAGTATTTGTATGGTTTAAGTACAGATGCAGTCAATCCAGTCTAACCACAGCTGGATGGCACTTGTGTCTTTTTTATATTTACAGCAAAAAAAACAGGTCAGCTGTGATTAAAAACAAGTAGGGCGTGCTGCATTTTGTGCATCATCAGGCATGATGTCTCTACGGACATTAACACTGTCAGGGATCATTTATGAAGACTTTGAATTGATATTAAAATGATATTTCAACCAATGCTGTTTATTTCTTGACACTGGAGCTCTGTTATTTGAGACTCATTTGTAAGGATCACAAGGCCACAAATGTTATTGTTTTGGGGTTAAGTATACTGTATAACAACTTCCTGCACTTTATTTACATGTTAATCTTCACTATCTGGATAAGTCCCAGTAACAAGTCATAAGGTAATTGTAATGAAGTTAGCTGTAGTCGCTTAACATCACAAGAATAGGAAAGTACACATATACCTTCAAATTGAACTTAAAGGTCCCCTATTATACTGTTTTTCATCAATATATTATAGGTCTCAGATATACAGTATACAAAACATGTCTCTGAAGTGTTTGTCTGAAACACCAAACAGATCATTGCAGCATCCCATAATCCCCTCTGTTTCAGCCCTGTCTGTTACCTAAAATCAAAATAAGGAGCCACTCCCCACGCCCCTCTGATGCCCCTTTCACACCAACGCGGTTCCAGGGCCACTGAGCAAAGGGACTAGAACACAACCACACACTTATAAAAAAAAAATGGTGACACAAGCCAAACATTTTTTATGACATCATATAGTGGCCAAAATCTCATCAGCTCATTTTCAGACAGGTTTATATAGAAATGGATCAGGACAAAAAGAGAGAGAATCTTTTTTCCTGAAACTTTCAGAGTCTCTTTCCACAGAGGGGACACATGTTGATGTAGAAGAGACATGAAGAAGTGGATTTTGCATAATAGGTGACCTTTAAGTAAATAACTTGTTATGTAGTAAAGTAAGCCTACATTACAGGAGGTCATGAAAATAGAAACATAAATGAGTCCTATTTGCTCCTTTATTGCATCTTCACGTGATACAGCATCAGTTCGAGGGGAAATGGATTTACATACAGTATATTATTCAAAGTGAACTCTACAGCCGGTCATTGGTCTGTTAGTAATCTCTTATTATATGAATCACTGACGGATGTTCTTCCTCTTAATGCTCCACGCCTCATTTGCTGCAGTTTTTCCCCCATGCTTTAAACTTGAACTCCCCAGGTGACGATGAGAGGCGAATAATAGCATCACATGATGAGTAGCGACTCTCGGAAGTATCAGGAGGCCGAGGTGGGATCAGCTCTCGACCAATCAGAGCGCAGCTGTCCTTCCTGATACTGGACAGCAGCTCCGTCTTTTTAATCTTCAGCTCACCTCCACCTGCACACACCTCCACCTTCTGAAGGGAGCTCACATTGACACGCAGGTAAGGTATACGATGCAGCTTAACGGATAACTGGGACTTGTTAATGATGTGTTGTTATTTACAAAATAAGATTAAGATAAGATAATAATAGGAATAATAATTAAAATATGACTTAAAATAAGCATAAGGATAAGGGAAACAAATAAAGAAACAATTAAAAGAATAAGGATAAGAATATTATTTAAAATAAGAATAAAATAAAAAGCAAATAAATAATATACAAAAATGTACACTTAGAAAATAAATAATAATAAGGATAACAAAAATAAGAATACATATAATAACAATAAGGATAAGGTTAATAAATAAATAAATAAAATAATGAATAAATAAGAAAAATTAAGAATAATAATACAAAATTAAAACACTAAATAATAGAAACCACTAACATTGAACATATAAAGTGTGTTGACAATGAACAATAATAAAATGCTTTTTTATAAGAAAAAGATAATTACAATAATAGATTGAATTCATATAGCGCCTTTCAAGGGCCCCATGGCCGCTTTACAAGTTAAGAGTTAAGGACAGGCAACAAAACAAACAAACAAGCAAACAAAGTAAGGCAAATAATAGAGTAAAATAAATAAATAGCAGTAGGAGTGGAAGCAGTGTGATTGGTTAGGGGTCAAAGGCCATGGTGAACAGGTGAGTTCTTAATGATGTTTTGAGTCAGCATTGCAGATCTGAGAAGTTACAGTATGTAAAACATGTTGTTTTTTGTTTATGTTATCATTTATTATACCTGTAGGTAAATGAAGTGTTAGTTACCGTAATCTTTAAATGTTACTTCTTCCTCTGTTTGTTTTGATTCTTGTATTGATTCTTATATTGCCGTCAAACACTGAGCACACGGGAGATTTTACAGCAGCTTCTTTCTGTGTTTTTGGTTTGTTCTTCACCCCACGAGGCGTGATCCTCCTGGAGATAGATGGCTCACCTGCCTCTCAGACGCCATGGCAACTTGCCCCAGAGGCGAGTCACTCTGTTGCCCCGGGTAACGAAGAGCAGAGCACACCTGGAGGACGGTCCACCTGAGACCGGGTCAAACCCTGCAGGAAATGCAGAGAAGCCACGCCAAGCCCAACATGTTACAGAGACACAAGCAAACGTAAAAGTGGAGGATTTCGTGATTAAGGAGAAGGTAATCACTACAGCTGACTCATAAGAGTTAAGGAGGGTGATTGATATGTGGATACACCTTTTGGAGTGTTGACATGTATTCTCTTTTTTCTTTTTCATAAAGTTTTGCAGTACTGGAATTTGTGAGATGGAAAAGCAGTCAAACCGGTCCTGCAATGGAAATACAAGACTCTCTCCGTCATGTGTCAAATTAAAACCTGAGAAAGATGTGGCGATTGTATTGAAGGGAATAAGGTAAAATGAAAGACAACACAGTGAACGCAGTCGCCTCAAAACAATGGGAACACATTTATTTAAATAAATGGTTTGATGTCATGGGGAATATGCTTTCTCCAAGGAGTTATGTCCAACAATTCCTTTATTGATAAATGAGAATTCAGGATTTATGAACAAATGTTAAACCACTGACCAAAATCGAGATTTACTGACCAAGGTGTCTTTCCACAGGATTCAACCGGAGGCCCAAAGGATTCTGGGTAACTCCAGAATCCCTGTTGTCGTAATGGAGCGTCTGAACGTCCGGTCCCTGTCCTGTCTGCAGCCGGTCGTCTCTCTGGTGCGTCTGCCCTGCCCAACACCAGCTGGGCTCCACAATAACACTTCCTGTTTACATCGTCCTCAACAGGTACAGAGATGAACTTTAGTTTACACACAGCGCTTTCAATTCAAAGCACAATATTCAAGAAGTCATAATACAATTCATTTTGTTGGCTGATGTTCACGGCTGTGAAATCAAATCAGGTTGTTGCCAATGTTTTGCTCAGCTTGTTTCTCTGATATCTTAAAACGTTTGATAAAGTGACTATGTAATGTGTGGCCCAAAAGGCCCAGCATTCAAGAGGTCATAATACAATTCATTTTGATGGCTGATGTTCGCGGCTGTGAAATCAAAGCCACTGGAGTATGGTTTAATAATAATAATAGTAATAGTAATAGATTACATTTCTATAGCGCCTCTTAAGGGACCCAAGGCCGCTTTACATGGTGAACAAACAAACAAACAAACAAACAAACAAACAAACAAAAGGGGCAAATAATAAAGTAAAAAATTAAATAAATAGCAGTAGGAGTGGAAGCAGGGGGACTGTGATGGGTTAGGTGTTAAAGGCCATGGTGAACAGGTGAGTTTTTAATAATGACTTGAAGATGTCCTTACATTAAATAAAGCAGTTTAAACCCAGTCATCAGTGTTTCTTCGAAGCTGTTCGGCTGTGTCCTTACTCAGCTTGTTTCTCTGATAACTTAAAAAAAATCTTGTTATAAAATGTGAGAAAGCGACCATTATCTAAACACTGTATTGTCAAAAACAGCTTAGAAATGTATAGAAAGTCAGTTCATTACGGCTCCTTGAATACGACCACAGCACTGAAGCGTGCAAAAAGGGGACACCATTAAAGACCACCAGATAAAACGCTACCTTGAATACAATTATTGATTTTCTTTCAGTTTGCAAATTGTTGAAACACAGAGTATACAGCTCAACATAATATATAACAGGTTCAGTGAAGTTTGTCATATATTTTACATTAGCTCTTTCTCTCTGCCCCTTTGTGTCTCTGTCTGCAGAATGGATTCAGACACCATGAGGAAAACATTTTGGAGATAAAAGAAGAGACTCTTCAGTGCGATCTCATCCAAACAGAAACCTCTCAGCCCTCCTGGACTGAGCCGTACTGTCCCGACCTCTCGCCCTCCAGAGAGCCAGAGAGGGACTCCGGCTTTGACTGTGACTCTAATCCGGATCAGCCGTACATCCTGTTAGACTCTGGATCTGAGGAATGGGACCTGGACGTGAAAACAGAGTCAGAAACATTTTATCTGGATCCAGATCTAGAGCACTGCCTGGTGATCGAACTGGATCCAGAAGAACCAGAAGAAGCTGAGCCGGATCTGAAGCTGGAGGAAGAAGCAGAAGAAGCTGAGCCGGATCTGAAGCTGGAGGAAGAAGCAGAAGCTGAACCGGATCTGAAGCTGGAGGACGAAGCAGAAGCTAAGCCGGATCTGAAGCTGGAGGAAGAAGCAGAAGCTGAGCCGGATCTGAAGCTGGAGGACGAAGCAGAAGAAGCTGAGCCGGATCTGAAGCTGGAGGAAGAAGCAGAAGTGAAATGTGAAGAAGTACAAATGGACGATCTTTGTTGCTCGCAGGAAGAGGAGGAAGTGTCATCGCTGCAGACACCTGGACCTTTAGGAGTGGAGGAGAGCGAAGACTTCTGCGGTGTTTGTCTGAACGGAGGAGAGCTGCTCTGCTGCGACCGCTGCCCCAAAGTCTTCCACCTGATCTGTCACATACCTCCACTCACCTGCTTCCCTCTGTAAGTGCTGTTAGACCTGGTACTAAAACACTATTTTAACCATTATCTACTAAAAAATCAACTCTGTGACTTAGGCCGATTGACTATTTTTGTTACTATACAGTATATCGGTATTGAGGATATTGATTTCATGATGTGAATAATCCTGCACCCCTAAATCATTTTACACTATCACTCTGCCTTACTTTAAAGGGGACCTATCATGCTATATTTGAATAATATATTGTAGGGCCATACCTATATAAGGTATATTTATAAGTTTTAATTTTCAAAATACCAAACAGATCATGCATTTTAGCCATGCCTCATTTTGCCTCACTCCAGCTCTTTCTTTGCATGAGCTGGAGCTGACTCCGTTGCAGCCCTGTTTTTAGAGATTTGGGGATGGAGGAAAAGAGAGAGGGTTGTATTTTCTGAAACTTGGTGAGTTCCCTGGAACACCGGGGACACAAATTCATGTATAAAAGACGTACAAAAGTGCATTTTGCATGATAGGTCCCCTTTAATATTGAGTGGAATTCATTTTCCAAAAAGTAAAGACACAATTCAAAAGTAGACAAAGTTTAGGATGAATTTTACCAACTCTCTTATTGTTTTTTGAAGAAAATATTCCATTGATATTGTGACAAACAATTGTGTTTAAAAAACAAAATATACTTTTTAATTGTTATTTTTGAACACAGTCTACAATGGCACATTATGATTCCAAAATGTTGGCTTCAACCTAAAATGATTGATGCATTTCCTACAAACCAATATGCCGGGTATCTAAAGAGTGAGATCAATGTTAGGGAACATTAGCAAAATTCAAGAGAAAAGATGAATAAAACTAGCACACTTTATTGAAATCGAGGAATATGTCACCTAAAAGCAGTATGCAATCCCATAAGTAATATAAGGCTTTGGTTACACAGACAACACCTGATTTCAGAAAGGAAAGAACATTTAATATTTGTATTTTAAAGGTCACCTCTTATGCAAAATCCACATTTTCATGTCTCTTCTACATAAACATGTGTCCCCTCTATGAAAAGAGATTCTGGAAAATGAGATGATCAGATTTTGGCCACTTTATGATGTCATAACGATTTGGCCACTTGTAACCATGTCATA